AAGGGGATCACATGACCCCGGGACACGGCAACCGTCATAAATATGAGTCAGCTGCCAAGCCTCTGAATTTTGATTGCATAACCATGGACGGTTGGTTGTAAGTGTGGAAAATAGTCACAAGTCACTTTTTTCAGTGCCGTTGTAACTATGAGCAGTCACTAAATGAACGTAAGCCAAGGACCACCTGTATTCTTCCTTTTCTCCTGCCTCTTTCCCTGCTAAATTTAAGTGTGTGTTTCCATCACAGGCCCACGATCCCCGAGCCTTTGATTCTCCAACGGTGGCTGGACTACTGGACCACGCTCCTTGTTTAACCGTTAGCCACAATTCTTGAGGCCGGCGAGAACAGGGAGCCTTTGAATGCTTGAAAAACCAGCAGCTGGGGAAAATTTGGACCCTAGCCACCTTTAAAACAGGCTGTCCAACTTGGCCTCCTTGAGATTAAGGAGGATCGGTTTACCAATTCTTCGCCCAGCTTTCAGGAGATAGAATGTAAATATTATTTGACAACTAGCTGTACCCGGCCACGCGTTGCTGTGGCTCAGTCTGGTTAAATGGAAAAGAAAGAAAAGAGAAAGCGCACGTTTCTAATATGTTTAATTTCACAATGCTTGTGGGTATACAATATTTTTTGTTGTTCCATTGTCTGTGCAGATATATTGTCTGGTTTGCTTTTACGTCCAACAGATGGTGCTGTTTTTCAAAAAAAGCATGTTTTTACCTGTCACAGGTGTGACATCTATATAATATAGGTATATAAAAACACGCGCGTATTCGAATGCAACGTTGTGTCAAAATTTCAAAGCAATCGGTGAAGAACTTTCGGAGATGTAAGATTTTGAACAAACGAACATTTACATTTTTATTTATATAGATGAGTGGCAATATCTTCAGTCAAAACAACTTTTGACATCTCCCTTTTGGCTTTGCAGCCTCAAGTGCCTTAGAATTTCTTTTGTTTATAAAAGATTTGACAGAGAGCCTTCAGAATAATAAACTGTAGGGGTTACTATTTGTGCAAGGTAAAGTTTCTCCCCAGCCAGGCTCAGCTCCTGGTGAATTCGTGAACATGTCTGTAGAGTTTCCTTTGGCAGTAGAACAGAAATGGATAGCCACTGCCTTCTCCTACAATATTTCTTCCCCAACTTCCCAATTTGATCTAAAGTAGGGGCATCCAACCTTGGTAACTTTAAGACTTGTGGACTTTAACTCCCAACTTTAAGACTTTGTGGACTTCAACTCCCAGATTTCCCCAGCCATAAAATTACGACTAGCTTAGCAAAAAAAAAAAAAAAAAAATTGAGTTGAGTTGTTCGTTCAAGTCACTAAAATGAATGGCAACATACAACTGTTATGGATAACAGATTTCAATATTTTGTGGTTTTAATAATAATGATGATGATGATGATGATGATGATAAAGTTGGAAGGAACCTTGGAGGTCATCTAGTCCAACCCCCTGCTCAGGCAGGAAACCCTACACCATTTCAGACAAATGGCTGTCCAGTCTCTTCTTAAAAACTTCCAGTGTTGGAGCATTCACCGCTTCTGGAGGCAGGTTGTTCCGCTGGTTAATTGTTCTAACTGTCAGGAAGTTTCTCCTTAGTTCCAGGTTGCTTCTCTCCTTGATTAGTTTCCATCCATTGCTTCTTGTCCTGCCTTCAGGCGCTTTGGAGAATAGCTTGACTCCCTCTGAGATACTGGAACACTGCTATCATGTCCTCCCTCATCCTTCTCTTCATTAAACTTGACATACCCAATTCCAGCAACCGTTCCTTATATGTTTTAGCCTCCAGTCCCTTGATCATCTTTGTTGCTCTTCTCTGTACTCTTTCTAGAGTCTCAACATCTTTTTTACATCGTGGTGACCAAAACTGGATGCAGTATTCCAAGTGTGGCCTTACCAAGGCATTGTAAAGTGGTATTAACACTTCACGTGACCTTGATTCTATCCCTCTGTTAATGCAGCCCAGCACTGTGTTGGCCTTTTTGGCAGCTGCAGCACACTGCTGGCTCATATTTAGGTGATTGTCCACTAGGACTCCGAGGTCCCTCTCACAGTTACTACTATTTTCTCCACCTGGCCCTTGAGTTTAATAGGGAAAAACAATGGAGGAAATAAGTTACGTTGATCCAGACCATTGAGATAGTCCAGGTGAGGGACTTCAATGAATCTTCTCCAGCTTCTGACAAGTTCTGGTCATTTAATGTGTTCCTTCAGAAAAAGAAATTCTTCCTTTGGGCTGTTCTTCCCAGTCCAATTTCAGATACCCTGAATTTCCCCCCCCCCCCCACCCTTATCCCTATCTGTTTTTTCTCTTGGCTCTGAACATTGGCATAGAAACTGCTCTCTAGGGCTTCTCACGCGAAGTTGGATAATCTTTAACTTGATTTTATCTGGAGATCCTGTCCTTTTTCAACCAAGGGATGAACTCATCACCCCAATGTTCCACCAAGATCATCTTGTTCTCCTCACCATGGAAGCATGGGAAAAAATGGTTCCCCAATAACATAACAAGAGCCAGTCGTACCATTAGGCAGTTCATTTTTGTTCACCTGAATCCTTAACAGAATAACAGAGACCCTAGATCAGGGATAGGCAACCTTGGCTCTTTTATTTATTTATTTATTTATTTATTTATTTATTTATTTATTTATTTATTTATTTATTTATTTATTTATTTATTTATTTATTTATTTATTTATTTATTTATTTATTTATTTAAATTTATATCCCGCCCTTCTCCTTGCGGACTCAGGGCGGCTCGTGACTCGTGGACTTCAACTGCCAGAATTCCTGAGCCAGCATGGTTCAGCTTGGAAACCTCTCCCTTTCCCCTCAGCATGGCTGGCTCAGGAATTCTGGGAGTTGAAGTCCATGAGTCATAAAAGAGCCAAGGTGGCCTACCCCTGCCCTAGACCATTTCAGACAAATAGTTGTCCAATCTCTTCTTAAAAACCTCCAGTGATGGAGCACCCATAACTTCTGGAGGCAAGTTGTTCCACTGGTTAATTGTTCTAACTGTCAGGAAGTTTCTCCTTAGTTCCAGGTTGCTTCTCTCCTTGATTAATTTCCATCCGTTGCTTCTTGTCCTGCCTTCAGGCGCTTTGGAGAATAGCTTGACTCCCTCTTCTTTGGGGCAGCCCCTGAGATATTGGACCACTGCTATTATGTCACCCCTGGTCCTTCTCTTCACTAGACTAGCCATATCCAATTCCTGCAACTGTTCTTTTAACCTCCAGTCCCCTAATCATCCTGGTTGCTCTTCTCTGCACTCTTTCCAGAGTCTCATCCATTTCACTAAACAAACTAACATAGTTCTCTTTGTTTGAGTTTCCTTGAAGAAGACCAGCAGCTGGCGGGCTGAAAATGGAAGTCATCAATCACCTTGTTGGTGAGAATTTACTCCGGCATGGTCGGGTGATGGGTAGAAGGAAGAACCTTGAGGATCAGGAGAAACAGATGCAACCAAGAGAGCGGTCAGATAAAGGAAATCTGTGCCCAAGGCAGAAATGTAAAGTGAGAACACATCTCAGAAAAGACCCTCTGAAGATAAAGAGAAGGGAAGGGGAAGATAATAATAATCCTTGAATAAAAATGTATTAGCTAGGATGACGTTGGTTTCCTCCTGTAGTCAGATCTACAACTTGAAGAGTTGACAAGTTCACACAGCGCCGTGAACCATCTTGGGCCTTCTTTTATTTTATTTATTTACTTGTTAAATTTATTTGTTTGCTTTTGGCTCAGGATAGGGGCTTGCGGATTAATGTATTGTGCAAACCCAGCCAACTGGACTTGATTAACTTAAGTCCAGGCTTAAACAATGGTTGAATGCAAAAGAGAAATCCAGCCTCCTTCATTACCAGCAAAATCTGGAGCGATCTTGGTAATCAAGAAGCACATTATTTATTATCTGTTTTTAGCCCAATGCCCTGGGCTGGAATATTTTCCTTGGATTTTCTCCAGCTGGACTTGGAGAGTTTCTGGGTTAAATAATCATTTCCCAGACAGGAGAGCAAATAACACTTTCACATAAGGCATCCAGCAGCAAGAGAAACAGCTGAAGACATTTGGACAAGAACTTTTACTTGTGGGCTATCCTGGCATCACTGCTAGCTCTTTTCCTCCTGATTTTACCAGGTATTTATTAAGGGAGGGAGGGAGGAAGGGAGTTGGAGGGAGGAAGGGAGTTGGAGGGAGGGAGAGTGGATGGGAGGGGGAAGGAAGGAAGGACAGGGAGGGAGTGGAAGGAAGGAAGGAAGGTGAGGGAAGAAAAGAAGGAAGGAAGGGAGTTGGAGGGAGGGAGAGTGGAAGAGAGGGAGGGAAGAAGGAAGGTGAGAGAAGGAAGGAAGGAGGGAAGGAAGGAGAGGGAGGGAGTGGAAGAAAGGAAGGGAGTTGGAGGGAGAGAGAGTGGAAGGAAGGAAGGAAGGAATGACAGGGAGGGAGTGGAAGGAAGGAGAGGGAGGAAGGAAGGAAGGAATGAGGGAAGAAAGGAAGGGAGTTGGAGGGAGGGAGGGAGAGTGGAAGAGGGAGGAAGGAAGGAAGGTGAGGGAAGGAGGGAAGGAAGGTGAGGGAAGGAAGGAAGGAAGGAAGGACAGGGAGGAAGGAAGGAAGGTGAGGGAAGGAAGGGAGGGAGGGAGTTGGAGGGAGGGAGAGTGAAAGAGAGGGAGGAAGGAAGGTGAGGGAAGGAAGGAAGGAGGGAGTGGAAGGAAGGAAGGAAGGAAGGAAGGAAGGAAGAAGTAAATCAACAGGGGAAGCCAGATTTGCTTAACAATCATATGATTCATTTAACCACTGCAGTGATTCGCTTAACAGTTGTGGCCAAAAAAGTAATAAAATTGGACAGGACTCACTTAACAACCACCTTGCCTAGCAATGGAAATCTTGCTCCCACTTGTAGTCGTAAGGCAAGGACTCCCTGTGCTGATTTTGCCTTCCTAATTCTGCCCCCTGGCCTACCTTTTCTCTAATCCCAGTAGAGTTTTGAAAGGACCTTATCCAGCTTTGCCATGTCGCTCCCCTGGATCCTGGCATCAGTTTCGGCAGCAGAGGTCCTCATTGGCCTGGCTGTTTTCTGCCTCCTCTTCCTCGTCCTCCTGTCCTTTCAGAGAAAGACCCCCCAGGGCCTAAAGAAAATCCCTGGACCACGGGGCTACCCCTTGCTTGGCAACCTACTGGATGTGGGGAAAAACGTCCACCTCAGTTTGACTCAACTGAGCCGGACCTATGGAGACATCATGATGATCCACCTCGGGACAAAGCCGGTCTTGGTGCTGAGTGGGCTGGAGACCATCAAGGAAGCTCTCGTGAGACAAGGAGAAGACTTCAAGGGACGTCCTCACCTTTACATCTTCCGCCATGTGACCGATGGGCAGAGTCTGTCTTTCGGCACGGATTCTGGACCGGTGTGGTTCGCTCGTCGGAAGCTGACTCAGAACGCCCTGAAGACTTTTGCTACCTCGCCCAGCCTCACCTCCTTCTCCACCTGCCTCTTGGAAGACCACGTCTCCAAGGAGGCCAACCATCTGATGGCAAAGCTCCAGGAGGTCATGCTCGCCAAGAACCGCCTTGACCCCTATCTGTACTTGACGGTCGCTGTGGCCAACGTAATTTTGGCCATATGTTTCGGCAAGCGTTATGACTACGAGGATAAGGAATTGCTCAACATTGTGATCAACAGTGAGCAATTTGTGGAATCCACAGGCTCGGGAAATCTAGCCAACTTCATCCCTCTTCTTCAGTATCTTCCCAACAGCAGCGTGAAAAAGTTTCAGAACTACAATAAGCAATTTACTCACTTCCTGCAGAAGAATGTTAAAGAGCATTATGAGAGCTTCAGGAAGGTAAGACACGATGTTGTTGTTAGTTGCGAAGTCATGTCCGACCCATCACAACCACATGGACCATGTTCCTCCAGGCCTTCCTGTCCTCTACCATCTTCTGGAGTCCATTTAAGCTCACGCCTGCTGCTTCAGTGACTCCATCCAGCCACCTCCTTCTCTGTCATCCTCTTCTTCTATTGCCCTCCATCTTTCCCAGCATCAGGCTCTTCTCCAGTGAGTCCTTCCTTCTCATTAGGTGGCCAAAGTATTTGAGTTTCAGCTTCAGGATCTGGCCTTCTAAAGAGCAGTCGGGGTTGATCTCCTCTAGGACTGATCGGTTTGATCACCTTGCAGTCCAGGACTCACAGGAGTCTTCTCCAGCACCATGGTTCAAAGGCCTCAATTCTTTGGCGCTCAGCCTTTCTTGTGGTTCAACAAATTCTGACATTTGGTGAATTTGCCCCCCTGGTCATCAAAATTAACTTTTGCTCTTCTCCTAATACAAAATCCAGTCTAAATCGGATGAAAGACCAACGGAACTCTATGAAAATGGTTTTGGTCTTCAATCTATCTCAAGCTGGGCTTCCTGAAACAAAAGTGGACAGTTCCTTGAAGTTGTATCTTATGGGGTATTACTGTGAAGTCAACACAACTTTTGTGGATCTTTCCTTTCAGGACCACATCCGCGATATCACTGATTGTCTGATTGAGGAAAGCCAAAAACAGAAGCTGGAGTCCAAGGGGAAAATTCAGCTCCCCCCTGGAATGATTATGAACCTGGTTAATGATATTTTTGGAGCTGGTAAGGTCTTCACCCAAGGGTCTAAAGTCAGAGGAGTATTCCTGGGTGGGCTTCTTGTCCAGACTACCTCGCAGGGCTAACTTTAATCTAGCACAGACATGTCAAACACAAGGCCCTGGGGGCCGGATGTGGCCCGCGAAGTGGTTTCATGTGGCCCGCGAAGCCATCCTGGAAACAGTGAGGGAACGGCCCCCACTGCCTTGGCCCTGGCCCAGGCCAGCCGGGAGCCAATGTAATATTTTGTGGTGGCCATCTATGCTGAAACGCATTCAGTCTTAGCTCCATAAGCCCCCCGCCCGCATGCCCTGAGAGGAACAGTGAGGCTCCTCCAGTGGACCATGCCTTGGCGCTTGCCCCGGTCCCCCCCTTCTGCCAGAGACCCTCAGATCTGTCCCACTCCTGCCCAGGCCCCCACAGGCGCCCTTGACGCAAACGATGTAGAGCTGGCCACACCCACCCATTAGGCCACACCCACTCCATCCACGCCCACCCAGTAGGCCGCACCCACCCTGGCCACACCCACCCGGCCCCCTGAGGGCAACCGCAATGCTGATGCGGCCCTCAATGAAATTGAGTTTGACACCCCTGATCTAGCAAGTCTCAAGGTATAGGTAATCCTCGACAGTTCATTTAGTGACCATTCAAAGTTACGACGACAGCGCCATAAGCCACTTATGACCGTTTCCCCACAATTAACCACCCTGGCACCATCCCCGTGGTCGCATCATCAAAATTCAGACCCTTGGCGATTGATTCAAATTTATGACGGTCGCAGCGCCCCCCCCTCCCCAGGGTCACGTGATCCCCTGTTGTGACCTTCTGACAAGCAAAGTCCATTGGGGAAAGCCAGATTCGCTTAACGACCGGGCGACTAACTGAATGACAGCAAGGATTTGCTTAACAATTGCGGTAAGAAAGGTCGTAAAATGGGGAAAACTCATTTAATTATCTCGCTTAGCAACAGAAATATTGGTCATAAGTTGAGGACGACCTCAACTTACCACACAAACCCATTTCTTTTCCTCTCTGGAAAAGTAGGGAGGGTCCCCTTCTATGAGCTGAGCGGCCTTTTACATATCAGTTGTCCACTCTCTGGCTTTTCCTCCCATCTCCCAAGGCCGTTCCCACAGGCCAGGACACTTTCATTGGCTTCTTCTTCTTCTTGTGCCATATCCATTATCGAACGTTGGCAATCATGTTGGCGATCCTGTTTTTATCAGCAGCCGCACAAAAAAGGGCTGCTGAGTTTTGTCCAAACCAGTCCCTGAGATTTTGTTTTGGGTTTATCATGCTTCTAGCGCAGGGCTTTTCAACCAGTGGTACGGGTACCACCTGTGGTACACTGGCACCTGGCAGGTGGTACGCGACCATCCTAGAAAAGTGGTAGCGGGGGAGGGGAATGAGCTGAACCGGTGGCAGCACCGCACAAGCCTGAGCGAGAGACAGCTGGAGCTGCAGGGCTGTCAGGGCTCAGCGGAAGTGCCAGGATCAGTGCTGCTTTCCAGCTGATCAGCGCTTCTTCGGGACTGTCAGGGCTCAATGGAAGTGCCAGGATCAGTGCCAGGCTCCAGCTGGAAAGCAGCACTGATCCTGGTACTTCCGGTGAGCCCAGAAGAAGCGCCGATCAGCTGGAATGTTGCAGCATCTCCAGGGTCTTGTGATTTACATTCAGATGCCTGGCAACTGATTCATATTTATGACGGTCACAGTGTCCCAGGGTCATGTGAAGTGACCAAAACCTGCTGCAACCACCCAGCAGACGGGGGGAATAAAAACCAAACACCCCCACCCCACCCCCATTGCCAATCCTCAACAGAAAGGCTCACAACAATGAAAACCTCAGACAGGAGGAAGAGCGCCGCCGGGCGGGCAGGCAGGTGTCTTGCTCGGCTGTGGCTTGGGGGACACTTTTTTCAGTGCCATTGTAACTTCGAACAGTCACTAAGCGAACTGTTGTAAGTCGAGAACTACCTGTACTTTATCACTTTTTTCCTTTTTTTTTTTTTTTTTTTGGTCATCAAGTTTTTGACACCTTGCTAGGCGACTGGTGGTACTCGGATGTTGCCATATCCTAAAAATGGTACAATGGGTGAAAAGGTTGAAAAGCCCTGTTCTAGCGGACCGGGAGATTCTTAGCACCCCTGCCCCATTTAAGGGGCGCCCGTACTCAGAGCCATTGTTAGGTTTTGCCGCCATTAACATGATTTTCCTGGGAAATATATAGTGTAGTAGTCTTCCCTTTGCTTTCTACACCGCTGTGCACACGCTGTTCAAGTGGCTGCCACCACACTGTGTGCTGTTCTTCTGAATCCGTTCCAACCAATATGGTCTCTGCCTTCAGTCGATACTGGGGAGCCAGCTGTCACTTGCCAGGCATGTTGGTCCACGGGAGGTATTTGGTTCCCTCCAACCTGCCATTACAGTATAAAGCCATAATGGGTAGGGCCCCCCAATCCACCACCTGGGGACATGCTCTGTGGGGGTTCCAGGCTCCCACTAAGATTCTGAGTGGCTACTGTGGGATAATGGGAGAATCCTTAATTGCATTTATTCCTTACCTGGGACTGGATTTGATTGGACCTTGGGCAATCTCACTTCTCCATCCCCAAGGAAAGGTATTTGTGGAAGCATCTGGGCAAAAGCTGTCCCGCCGGTGAGACTCCCGTGTAAGTCCAGAAGACAAGATGGGCTGGTTTCTAGCCTGCCATGTCCTCTTTGTGTGTGTGTGTGTGTGTCTGTCGTCTGTTGTTACAGGTTTCAGCACAGTATCCACCGGGTTGTCCTGGTCCCTTATGTATCTCATCTCATATCCCGAAATTCAGAAAAAGATCCAGGAAGAAATAGGTACGGTAGGATCTCTTCCTTCTCAGCCAGGAGAGCGAATTTGGAAGCAGGAGTTATTTTTCGTAGGCATTTATTTATTTAGTTGAATGTATTAGTCCCGCAAGGCCAACGGACTCTTCACTGAACAAAATAAGAGGCTGGGTTTGCAAATTTACGCTCAGCCTTGGGGGGAACCAAACAACCCAGATTATATATAAGGAACGGTGGCTGGAATTGGGTATGTCTAGTTTAACGAAGAGAAGGATGAGGGGGACATGATAGCAGTGTTCCAGTATCTCAGGGGCTGCCCCAAAGAAGAGGGAGCCAAGCTATTCTCCAAAGCGCCTGAAGGCAGGACAAGAAGCAATGGATGGAAACCTAGAACTAAGGAGAAACTTCCTGACAGTTAAAACAATTAACCAGTGGAACAACCTGCCTCCAGAAGCGGTGCATGCTCCAACACTGGAAGTTTTCAAGAAGAGACTGGACAGCCATCTGTCCGAAATGGTGTAGGGTTACCTGCCTGAGCAGAGGGTTGGACTTGATGACCTCCAAGGTCCCTTCCAACTTTATTATTATTACTATTATTATTATTATTATTATTATTATTATTATTATTATTATTATTATTATTATTATTATTATTATTACTACTACTACTACTACTACTACTACTACTACTATTATTATTATTATTATTATTATTATTATTATTATTATTATTATTAACTGGTGTAGGGTTACCTGCCTGAGCAGGGGGTTGGACTTGATGACCTCCAAGGTCCCTTCCAACTTTATTATTATTATTATTATTATTATTATTATTATTATTATTATTATTATTATTATTATTATTATTATTATTATTATTATTATTATTATTACTTACTACTACTATTATTATTATTACTACTACTACTACTATTATTATTATTATTATTACTTAAGGCACACATACACACGGCCTTTGTCAGCCCTACAATGTAGGCCAAACTGAGAAACCGATCTTCACGTGGGCTTATCTGGGATGCTTTCTTGAATTACTCTCTTGGGCCAGACTCAAGCCCCCCTTCTCTGACCGTTGCTTTAGCAGTAGCACTCCATCTTAACCTCCAAGGTCCCTCCCTATGCCCAGCACAGCTTGAGAGATAAGGTCTTCTCAAGGAAAAGGGGAGATCTTTGATTCTTCCTCCCCACCTTCCAGATGTCACCATCGGCAGAGAACGGAAGCCGCGCTTATCCGATCGGTCCCTGCTCCCTTACACGGAAGCTTTCATCCTGGAAGTGTTCAGACACTCTACCTTTGTGCCATTCACACTTCCCCACTGGTAAGTCCCAAATTCCAGAGAGAGAGAGATGAGCCCTCAAACCAGTCCCCGAACCTGGTCAGATCCACCAAGTCAGGCTGAATCTCACCATTCATGGATTCTCATGAGACTGGTGTAATGAGGGGGGGGAGACCGAGAACTGGTGTAATGAAGGGGGAAGACTGAGAACTGGTGTAATGGGGGGGAGATGAAGAACTGGTGTAATGGGGGGGAGAGACCAAGAACTGGTGTAATGAGGGGGGGGGAGGCCGAGAACTGGTGTAATGGGGGGGAGTCTTTCTGTCTTGAACAGAATGGGTCCCACTTTGGTGTCGTTGGAAAGGGCAATAAAGAAGGATCACCTTAGACAATGGGTCAGATTTGGGTGGGGGCTGCCAAGAAAACCATCCCTGAGCCCACCTCTATAAAAAAAGGATTTAAGCCATGGGGAGGGGTTTTGTCTCCTTGGTGCTCTCTGGCCTTGACTGTTTTCTCGCAGATGTTTCATTACCCAACTAGGTCATATCATCAGTGATCTGATGGTGTTGAGGGTGCTGTGATGGTGATTATTGGGTCTTGATGATGCCACCTAGTTGGGTAATGAAACGTCTGCAAGAAAACCACCAAGCTCAGAGAACACCAAGGACCCCTCAGTTCAACCCTGAGCTGCAAATATTCTCTTCCATTGGCAATTTGTTCAATATCTATATTGCTGCATAAAGGCAACGCTAAATCTACCAGACCGTATCCTCTAATAATTATATTTAGATATTTTTGGTTTGAAAATTCACCTCCATTCCCCGCCCCATCTTCCTTTTCTTCCCAACCAGGCAGAAAAACAAATTTATATTTTCTTGTTTTCTTTTTCAGCACCACTAGAGATACCCTCTTCAAGGGCTACTTCATCCCTAAGGACCTCTGCGTCTTTGTCAACCTGTGGCAAGTCAACCATGATGAGTAAGTAGCGAGTTCTCATGGAATAACAGAAATAACAAAATAACACAGTTGGAAGGGACCTTGGAGGTCTTCTAGTCCAACCCCCTGCTCAAGCAGGAGACCCTATATACCATTTAGACAAATGGTGACCCAGTCTCTTCTTAAAAACCTCCAGTAATGGAGCACTCCCAATTTCTGAAGGCAAGTCGTTCTAACTGTCAGGAAATTTCTCCTTGTTGGAGGAATTGGTCTCCAATAGGTCTCCTTATGGGGCCAACCACAGCTTGCTAAAACATGGTTTGTTGGCTACAACACGACTCTCTGGAGTCTCTCTGGGTTTTGCTAAACCCAAGTCAAGCAACCATATCAAGGCTTGGCGTGGTGGGTGAACTCAAGTCAGCAAACTCATATTTTTGAGCTGCTGGCCTCCATCCTTCATTCCATGCACCCTCTTCGTAGGAATCTTTGGAAAGACCCCTTGGCCTTCGTTCCTGAGCGTTTCCTCACTGCCAGCGGGAAAGAAATCAACATGGATGAACGTGAGAAAGTCCAGATATTCGGTTTAGGGAAACGGCGATGCATCGGCGAGCCCATCGCTCGACGGGAACTCTTCCTTTTCTTGGCCACTTTGCTACAAGACCTGCAATTCAGCGTTCCCGACGGGGTGACGGTCAACATGACCCCTGTCTACGGCCTCACCTTGAGGCACAAGCGATGTGAGCACGTCCAAGTGAAACAGCGTTTTCCTAAAAAAACAGGCTAATTACAAAAAGGACCAATTGCCCACCAGCCTGTACAAAGAGTCTTAGTCTTTTCGGCATATTTTTGTACAGTCCACCTGGGGGGAAGCATTGTATGAGCCTATCCAAAGTTAGTAAAAAAAAAAAA